GTCCCTCAGGTACCATGCAGGAGGACATAAAACAGTACCTGACCTCTCATTAATGAGATTTTTGGAGAATGAAACATAAAGCCAATATTCCACACTAATTTATGGTGATAAATTTGAATGTTATATCAAAATATTTTATGTTTTATATATTGGAACATTCTTTTTCTAAAGAGAAATTACATGTGAAACCAAATTAAAATTTTATTGCCTCTCAGTCAGAATCAAGTTGGAGCATGGAATTGCCAATGTAATTGGGATTTCCTTTCTTCCAGGACCCAAGAATACACTGCTGTAGATAGTCTCTGATAGACACAACTGGTTTCTGGCTCACTAGGCCAACTATTGCCAATGAGCTACATCCTGCCTGCTGCCTTTTTATGGATCTCAAGAGTTTCTTTGGAGATTCTAGCAGGGTAACACAGCTACTTGTACACAACCTTGACCAAAGAATGGTCCTCCTCTATCAGGGAAGGTCATTCTCTTCAACTGAGCATGAGTACGCAGCTTTGGGAGGGAAGCACATGAAGCATTGAGGGAGGAAGGGAACACCTGCCTCACTAGCCAGATAAGCGGAATCAACCCAGGTGATCAATGGGGTGACAGATGTTCCAGCCTGATCATCCTCACATCCTGCTGCCTGTTTATGTATGGATCAACAAGCTAAGAATGCTTTTTATATATTTAAATGATTGGGAGAAAAATCAAAAGAATAATAATATTTTGTGATGTGAGCATTATATGAAATTCAATTTTCATTATTCATAAATGTCATTGAAATACAGCTAGGGTTATTCATTTATATTCATTTATGTATTTTCTATGGCTACTTTTGCACAGTAAAAGCAGAGTTGAATAGTTGCAAAAGAGATCGTATGACCCAAAGCCTATATTATTTCCTATTTGGTCCTTAACAGAAAAGGTTTGCTCATCTCTGGTGTTGATTAAATAGTCCTGCACAAGAATTATTCATATGTTATTTAGAGCAGTGGTCCCCAGTGTTTTTGGTGCCAGGGACCAGTTTCATGGAAGACAATTTTTCCACAGATGGGAGCGAGGCTAGGGGGTGATGGGAGCTCCAGCAGTGATGGGGAGGGATAGGGAGCCATTGGGTGACATGGCGAAGCTCTGCGGCCCAGTCCCTAACAGGCCAGGGACCAGTACCACTCCCCAGCCCTGGGGTTGGAGACTGCAGATTTAGAGTACTGTTGTTATTTGCAACTTTCATTTTCAGTGTTAACTTTGTGGTAACAGTAGGTTATGGCTATTTGGGCATTTCTAATTAGTTGGGTTTTTTTTTTTTTTTTTAACATCAAGTGGCACAATAATATGTCTACATTGCCCTTAACAAAATAGAAATGAGTAGCACATTTATCTTTGAATATCTATACAACAAAAATTTAAGCAGTGTGTGGCCAGAGGCCTGTATCTTAATTTTCTCTATACCCACCTCTCTTTTTCTTTTCTCCTTTCACACAGTAGATGCTAATCAGTAGTTGTTCAGGTGTATTGGAAATTTGTGATGCTATGACCCATTGCTGTGCTTCATAATCTGGGTCATTGGCCAAGCTTTGGAGTTTTATCATTCTTGATGTCTCTCAGCTAGTGAGGGTGAGCTTCCCCACACTCAGGATTAGCTTCTAGGATAGTCAGCCAACATCTTCTTCATCTAGGGGCCTGGTATGCAGCAGATCACCTAGTAGATACCTCATCTGGGTCATAAGCTGGGCTCTGGATTATTGGTTGTCTCTCCTTTCTTTTTTTCCCCCCCTTTTAATTGAGATATTTATATACTATAAAATTCACACTTTTAAAATATACAATTCAATGTTTTTCAGTATATTTCCAAGGAGCGTATTCCACTATCTTATTTTCAGAACATTTTTATAACTCTGAAAAGAAATCACGTGCCCATCAGCAGTCACTCCTTACCCCTTTCTTCCCCTGCCCTATGGCAACTGCTGCTTTACTTTCACTGTAGATTTGAATGCTGTAGGTATTTCATATACGTAGAATCATGCAATTTGTGGCCTTTTCTGTCTTGTGTCTTTCATTTAACATGTTTTCAAGGCTCATCCATGCTATAGCATGCACCATTATTTCATTCCTTTTTTTTTATTTTATTTTTTATTTCGGCATATTATGGGAGTACAGATTTTAAGGTTTCAATAAATGCCCATTCCCTCCCTCCCCCCACAAGTCTGAGTCTCCAGCATGACCATCCCCCAGATGGTGCACATCTCACTCATTATGTATGTATATACCCGCCTCCCACGTGCCCTATTACTGTAGTACATATGTGTCCACTTAGGTGCTGCTCAGTTAATATCAGTTTGCTGGTGAGTATATGTGGTGCTTGTTTTTCCATTCTTTTTTTTTTTTTTTTCCATTCTTGGGAAACTTCACTTAGTAGTATGGGTTCCAACTCTAACCAGGAAAATATAAGATGTGCTATATCACCATTGTTTCTTAGAGCTGAATAGTACTCCATGGTATACATATACCACATTTTATTAATCCATTCTTAAATTGATGGGCACTTGGGCTGTTTCCACAGCCTTGCAATTATGAATTGTGCTGCTATAAACATTCGAGTGCAGGTGTCTTTTTTGTAGAGTGTCATTGGATCTTTTGGGTAGATGCCCAGCAATGGGATTGCTGGATCAAATGGTAGATTCACTTGTATCGCTTTAAGGTATCTCCATATTGCTTTCCACAGAGGTTGAACTGGTTTGCAGTCCCACCAGCAGTGTAGGAGTATTCCTCTTTCTCCGCATCCACGCCAGCATTTATTGTTTGGAGACTTTTTGATAAAGACCATTCTCACTGGAGTTAAGTGATATCTCATTGTGATTTTGATTTGCATTTCCCTGATGATTAGAGATGTTGAGCATTTTTTCATATGTTTGTTGGCCATTCTTGTGTCTTCTTTAGAAAAGTTTCTGTTCAAGTCCTTCCCCCACTTTTTAATAGGGTTTGAGTTCTAAGTATATTCTAGTTATCAGCCCCTTGTCGGATGCGTAGGATGCAAAAATTTTCTCCCATTCTGTAGGTTGTCTGTTTACTTTCATGACTATTTCTTTGGCTGTGCAAAAGCTTTTTAGTAAAATTCCATTGTATAGATATACCACTTTTTTTTTTCAATTCATCTGTTAATGGACATTTGGGTTGTTCCCAGCTTTTGGCTATTGTGAGTATTACTGCTATGAACATTTGTGTACAAGTTTTTATGTGGACATACATTTCATTTTTCTTGTATAAATACCTAGGAGTGGAATTGCTAAGTCATATGGTAACTAAAACTTAACATTCAAGGAACTTCCAAGCTGTTTTCCAAAGTAGCTGTACCTTTTTACATTCCTACCAGCAATCTGTCAGTGTTTCAACTTTTCCACATCCTCATCAACATTTGTTATTATCTATTTTTCTCATTATGACAAAATGTGTATTCAAGTCCCAACCTTTTAACTTTTGATTTAATCACTTTAGGGTTTTCCTTATGTAGTATTCTAATCTTCCTTTTCTCTGTATATCCCAGTTTTTTTTCTCTCTACAAAATACAGTACTCTCAGTCACAGGAAGTATGGTATTCCAGGGAATGGGAAGCTCATTCTTCTTGTGAACCTTCAAAGACCCGCCAATATATAGTTCCTCACCATACTGCTTGCCTTACATTCTTTTTCTATTCTAATACTGAACGCCTGTGATTTTATTATACAAATTGGTAAGAAGATGGTACTAGTGCAGGCTAGGAAAAGGGTAACCCACCTGGGAGAATCATCCAGGTCTTATTCCTGGGTTGAGATAGTCATGAGCAGTCCTGTTTGCCTGCTTGTTTTTCTTCTGTTTGCTGGTCTAGCCCATTGCTTGTACTCTGTGATAATCTCTTGCCTTGTGTTGGTTCTTCTCCCTTGGCCCTCATTATGCTCTTTGTTCCCTGAATTGCAAAAACAGCTTGAAATTGCTAGGCATTTTATATCATATTTCATGCCTACTTAACAGCCTTTAAGATCAATATTATTACTGTTCCAATTTTATTGCTGAAAAAACTGGCTCATAAAACCCATTCCAGTTTCCCTGTATTAATCTCCCTTATTCACTTCCTCTGACCTCTGTGTTAGGAGGAGCTGCTGAAATGAGAGAATGCTTCCTAAACTGACTTTTAAGCGGAGTGGTTATTCAGATTTTCTTTTTTCAGCCTGTTATACTGGCTTGGTTTGCCTGAAATGCTTGTGTAGGAAGAGAAACGTAGACATTTAAGTTAAAGTGACATTATGGGTCTCTTACGTCAAACAATAGAATTTTTACTTTACCCATAAATAGGTGGACATTGAGTTGGAGATAGGCTTAATTAAAAGTATGTATATAATTTGGCATGGTTTTTTTTTTTTTTTTGCATGGTTTTTGAACCTATTTCTGGTCTATGTATAAAGATGGATAACCTATTGACCTTGCCCTTGAGGAACTTCCAGCTGTTTGGTAAGATGGAATCAAATAATTATTCTCATGTGGAAAAATGTGGCCAAAAAGTGTGTATAAAGATCTTGAGAGCTACAGAGATCAATCTTCTTATCCTTTTTGTTTTATTTTATTTTATTTTTCATAGTCTACAAGGAAGACTGAATTTTTTTTTTTTCTTTTCAGACTGATGCTCTGTTGCCAAGGATGGAGTGCAGTGGTGTGATCATAGCTCATTGCAACCTCAAACTCCTGGGCTCGAGTGATCCTCCTGCCCTTGGCCTCTCAAAGTGCTAGGATTACAGGAGTGAGCCACCATGCCAGGCCTCATTTCATATCATAAATTCAGTCATCAAATAATAGTAAACGTTTCTGATGGCTTTAAGTAGTATACATTTTAGGGTGGAATTGGATAAGACTATTGTTTGGTGTAAACTCTCTCCTTTATAAATATATGCTAATAAGAACACTTAGCATAGTCTTATAAGACTACCAGTGTAAATAAAAATTGCTTTCATGTATTAAATATTAACTTTCTCTTACAGATATGCCAAGAGTTTAACAGCACCTGGGCATGGGAAATGGAGAAGAAGGGCTATCTTGAAATGAGTATTGAATGCAAACTAGCACTCTTAAAGGTAATAAAAGTTTATTATTTGTTATAATTATTTTAATTTAAAATTTTACTTTTGACTTCTTTTGGTTAAATTGGGAAATAAACAAAAGGACAGTTTTACTGTTAGTGGAAGAAGACAATAGATTCTTCTATTTTTTGGTGACAAGTATCTTCTTTAAATTATTTTTCATTGTTTTTCAATGCATAAGTATATCTAGGTTTAATTATCTCTTGTAGGAAAAGTAATAGAATGGATAAACAGTTGCCCCAAATGAATTATATTCATTGTTTTCAGCTTTTATAGTAATTCCTATGTACTGTAAACTATGGTCAATCTTCTGCTGATATACTAAATTAGCAATTTGATATTATTGTTTTCCACATGACTAGGGGAATGCATTTTATACCTAATAAAAACTTCACATAACCAAACTTCCTTGATTGAAATGGGTCATCTCAAAGTAGGCTTATTTTCAAGTTAGAGTTTCTCATTCTTCTCCTGCTGACTTGCTATTGTTGCCCATATTAGTAGCAGAGTGGTCTAATAGAGAGGAAAAATACTCTTTGTGATAAAAATAATGAAGTTTTGCCACTAATAAAATTTATAGTATTTTACAACTAAGATTCTTATTCAAAGGACCTCAAGATTTAGGATAATTGTTAAAATATAGTAGTGTATATATTACTATTTTGGAGATGAGAGGTGACTATAAAGTAGCTGTTATTTTGCTTTTAGATATTAATTGCTGTTGGAGCCTACACAAAAGTCTACAAAATCCCTAAGATTACTTTTGTAAGAAAACCAAAGTCATAGCAAACTCAGACTTTAGGTTGTATTATCATGCGGGCTTATCTGTCTGTAGACTAACTTGTGGTCCCAAAGGCATTATGTAAGATGATTCTTTGGGGATCAAGACAAAGTTATAGATCTTCTAGTCATAATTTTTTAAAATCTCAACTTTTTTGAAATAACTTTTTTATATTCATATGATATATAATAATGTTAGTAGTATATCTGTTATATATACATTATGTATAGATATATACTATATATTATATATAATAAATATATAAGTACATGTATGCTATATTATAAAATACATGCATATAATTATTCAAGATGTGTTATAAACTTTTTTATTATTAGGGATGCTTGATCAAAAGAATGTAGAAACTATTATTAGAATAGTTGACACAGGCAAAGGAAACAGGTTGTGATAGGAAAAAACTTCATAGGTTTTCTCCTTGGGCAGAGAGACTCAGGAAACAAGTCTTAACTTTATATCCTTCTTAATCCTATACAAAATGTATAACAAAAAGTTAGTTCTTCCAATCCTAGTACATGAATATCTTTTTTTTTTTTTTTTTTGAGACAGAGTCTTGCTTTGTTGCCCAGGCTAGAGTGAGTGCCATGGCGTCAGCCTAGCTCACAGCAACCTCAAACTCCTGGGCTCGAGCGATCCTTCTGTCTCAGCCTCCCGAGTAGCTGGGACTACAGGCATGCGCCACCATGCCCGGCTAATTTTTTTTTATATATATATCAGTTGGCCAATTAGTTTCTTTCTATTTATAGTAGAGACGGGGTCTCGCTCTTGCTCAGGCTGGTTTTGAACTCCTGACCTTGAGCAATCCGCCCGCCTCGGCCTCCCAGAGAGCTAGGATTACAGGCGTGAGCCACCGCGCCCGGCCGACATGAATATCTTTTCATTAAGAGAATTCTCGAGAGCCAGCTGTCAATGAAAGACTACTTTCCTTGAAAACTATATGTGAATCACAGGCTAAGGTGGGAGGATTACTTGAGGCCAGGAGCTCAAGACCAGCCTGGCCAACATAGTAAGACATTGTCCCTAAAAAAAGGTTTTTAAATTATCCATGGGTGGTGTCACATGCGCCCATAATCCTAGCCACTTGGGAGGCTGAAGCGGAGGATTGCTTGATTCCAGGAGTTTGAAGTTGCTCTGAGCTACACTTACATCATGGCACTCTAGACCTAGCAACAGACAGAGACTCTGTTTTAAAAAAAAAACACCAAAAAAAATATGATCATATCAATAGATGCAGGAAAAGCATTTAAGAAAACTAAACTTTGCTTTCATGATTAAAAACTCACAATGAATTAGGTATGGAAGGAATGTATCTCAATATATAATTGAGGAATATATAATAAAGTCCATAGATGACAGGCCCACCACTTACATCATACTCAACAATGAAAAACTGAAAGCTTTTCCTCTCACATCAGGAGCAAGACAAGGATGTTCACTCTTGCCACTTAGTCCACTCTTGCCACTTCTGTTTAACATAGCAGTACTGGATGTTATAGCCAGATAGGTAACATAAAGAAATAAAAGTCACTATGGGATAAAGAAATAAAAGTCACTATGGGAGGCTGAGGCAGGCAGATCGCTCAAAGTCAGGAGTTCGAGACTAGCCTGAGCAAGAGTGAGACCCCATCTCTACTAAAATAATAGAAAGAAATTAGCTGGACAACTAGATAGATAGATAGATAGATAGATAGATAGATAGATAGATAGATAGATAGATAGATAGATAGATAGATAGATAGATATTTAAAAAAAAAACTAGCCGGGCATGGTGGCACATGCCTGTAGTCCCAGCTACCCAGGAGGCTGAAGCAGAAGGATTGCTTGAGCCAAGGAGTTTGATTGCTGTGAGCTAGGCTGACGCCATGGCACTCTAGCTGGGGCAACAGAGTGAGACTCTTTCTCAAAAAAAAAAAGAAGAAATAAAAGTCATCCAAATTGGAAAGGTAGAAGTTAAATTGTTGCTGTTTGCAGACAACATGATTTTATATATAGAAAACCCTAAAGACTCCACCAACAAACTGTTAAAATGAGTAAATGAATTCAGTAACGTTGGAAGATAACAAAAATCAGTAGCATTTCTATTGACTAATGAACTATCTGAAAAAGAAGTTTAAAAACCAACTCCATTTATAGCATCAAAAAAATAAAATATTTAGGAATATGTTAAACCAAAGGTGAAAGATCTCTACATAAAGAAGTGTAAAATATTAATGAAAGAAACTAAAGACAAATAAATGGAAAGCTGTCCTATGTTCATGGATTGCAAGAAGTAGTATTGTTAAAATGTCCACACTCTGGGAGGCCGAAGCAGGTGGATTGCTCAAGGTCAGGAGTTGAAAACCAGCCTGAGCAAGAGCGAGACCCCATCTCTACTATAAATAGAAAGAAATTAATTGGCCAACTAAACATACATATATATGTATACACACATACACACATACACATACACACATATATAAAATTAGCCAGGCATGATGGTGCATGCCTGTAGTCCCAGCTACTTGAGAGGCTGAGGCAGGAGGATCGCTTGAGCCCAGGAGTTTGAGGTTACTGTAAGCTAGGCTGACACCACGGCATTCTAGCCCGGGTAACAGAATAAGACTGTCTCAAAAAAAAAAAAAAATGGCATCAGATATATGAAAAACTGTTCAGCATCACTAATTATCAGGGAAATACAAATTAAAACCACAGTGAGATATCAACTCATACCTATTAGGATGCCTTTTATCAAAAAGACAAGATAACCAGTTTGGCAATGATGTGAAAAAGAGGAAACCCTTGTACACTGGTGGTGAGAATGTAAATTAGAATAACTGTTATGGAAAACATCATGGAAGTTCCTCAAAAAATTAAAAATAGGACTATATCATCCAGCCAACCCACTACTGGGTATATATCCAAAGGAAGTGACATCTGTTTATCAAAGAGAGATCCACATGTTCACTACAGCATTAATCACAGTAGCCTTTGGAATCAACCCCACATGTTCATCAACACATGTATTGATAATGAAAAGAAATAAATCCTGTCTTTTGTGACAAACATGCTTGAACCAGGATGACATTATGTTAAGTGAAATAAACCAGGTACAGAAAGTAGTGCCCCATGATCTCACTTACATGTGGAATCTAAAAGGGTCAAACTCACAGAAGCAGAGAACAGACTGTTGGTTACTAGGGGTTAGGGAGGTAGAGGTAGGTTTGAAAGATATCGAAATTACAAAAAATGAATTAGGAAGTAGTTCAGGAGATCAGTTATACAACCTGGTGGCTATAGTTAATAATAATATATTGTATAATAGAAAATTGTTAAGAGAGTAGATTTTATTTACTTATTTATTTATTTTTTTGAGACAGAGTCTCACTCTGTTGCCTGGGCTAGAGTGCTGTGGAATCAGCCTAGGTCACAGCAACCTCAAACTCCTGGGCTCAAGCGATCCTACTGCCTCAGCTTCCCGAGTAGCTGAGACTACAGGCATGCGCCACCATGCCCGGCTAATTTTTTGTATATATATTTTTTAGTTGGTCAATTAATTTCTTTCTATTTTTGGTAGAGACGGGGGTGGGGTGGGTGGGTCTCGCTCAGGCTGGTTTCGAACTCCTGACCTTGAGCGATCCGCCCGCCTCAGCCTCCCAGAGTGCTAGGATTAAGAGAGCACATTTAAAAAAAAAAAAAAAAAAAGAGAGCACATTTTAAATATTTTCATCTTACCAAAAATCTAAATATATTAGGTAATAGATACGTTAGCGTGATTTAGCCATTCCACAGTACACATGTCAAAATATCATGCTCTATACCATCAACATAATGCAATTTTTTTCAATTAAAAATAAATTTATTAAAATTTTTTAAATAAATGAAAATTTTAAAATAGAATATTTTATACAATGAGACAATTTGGAAGTTTTTAGTACAAACAGGCTCATTGCTTGTGAAATATAATTTGATTTGTGTGTCAGTGGTTGTGTTAAACCTATAAATTGGTGTGATATTAATATAAAATGTTATTTTAAAGTTCCTCTTTTTATATTGGTTATACTAAACAGTTTGTATAAATGGAGGAGAGGATAGTGAAAGATGGATAAACTGTGTTCTGTCATTTTCACTGAATTAATTCTGTGGGTGTTTCATTTTTATTGTGATGGAGAAACATATATGAGATATTGTGAGCCTTGTTATGACTATTTTTCAGTACCTCTGTGAATGTCAGTTTGATGACAATCTCAAATTCAAGAATATTATTAATGAGGAGGATGCCGATAATATGCGTCTCCAGCCAATTGGGCGAGACAAAGATGGCCTAATGTACTGGTACCAATTGGATCAAGATCACAATGTCAGAATGTACATAGAAGAACAAGATGATCAGGATGGCTCTTCATGGAAATGCATTGTCAGGTATCTTTTATTGGAATCTTTTCACGTTATTTTATGTTTCATACTTTGATCTCCTCTCGACTAGAATTTGATTTGTGATGTGGGATGGTAGTTTTGTGTGTGTGGGGTTGGGGAATTTCCAGGGCCTAGCCTATTGCATTAGTCATTATCAATTTGTTTCTAATTATTTTAATGTGGTCAGTTCATCTTGACACAGTATATTTTCCAGTATATTTTTGCTGTGCGTGCATTTATTGGGCTTCTGAGGAAATCTGAGGGACATTGTGCTTTTTGTCATGGTTCTATTTTTTAAAATTAGATTTTTATTTGTAGTGACTCATATATTTGGACAGAACATTTAAGGCATAACCATGAAATAAAACTTTTTAAAAAAATCAGTGAGTAATACTGGGACCTTTATTCAGAATCGTTGATTTTCTTTGTAGTTTTGTTATTTAGAAATATCCCATTAATACCCAAAGTCTGTATTAATTTTGAAAATATCAGGGGTCCTTTAAAGTAGGGAAAAGTCATAGATGTCTAACTGCTGGCTTATGAAAAACTTCTTTACATTAACTCATATCTGGGTTTTTTGCCCCATTTTTAATTTTAGCAGGTTTATATTAGTGTTTATTTATTAATGCTTTGAAGGAATAATCCATAGAAATTTATATTCATTTGGGTCAGAAAAGCTCAACTTTTACTCCCTAATAATAATTCTCCACTCCCACTGCTTCACTTGACTAGCCTAAAAAAAAGTGAATTGAATGAACTCATGGGTGCTAATTTTATAAGCATGTATCACTACATGCTCCTTGTAATTATTTTACTAACTGCAGGTAAACAAAGTAGTCCTCAAGCAAAATCTACTCACCATTTCTCCCTATGACTGTAAATACCAAATGGTGTTCTGTTCATAATGGTATACTACCATTTTTTTTTTTCGAGACAGAGTCTCGCTTCGTTGCCCAGGCTAGAGTGAGTGCCATGGCGTCAGCCTAGCTCATAGCAACCTCAAACTCCTGGGCTCAAGCAATCCTTCTGCCTCAGCCTCCTGAGTAGCTGGGACTACAGGCTATGTCACCATGTCTGACTAATTTTTTGTATATATTTTTAGTTGGCCAATTAATTTCTTTCCATTTTTAGTAGAGACGCGGTTTCGCTCTTGCTCAGGCTGGTTTCAAACTCCTGACCTTGAGCGATCCTCCCTCCTCGTCCTCCCAGAGTGCTAGGATTACAGGCGTGAGCCACCACACCTGCCCATGGTGTGAGATTTTAGAGTTAGCAGTTAAATTTGATCTGGGTTCATCTACTTAACAATCATTGGTAGGCACATTGTAGTCATCCCTTGGTATCCACAGGGGATTGGCTCCAGGACCCTTATGAATACCAAAATATCCATGGATGCTCAAGTCCATTATATAAAATAGTGAAATATTTGCATATAACATACGCAAGTCCTCCCTTATACTTGTGTTATTTTTTAAAGATACAAGGTCTCATTATGTTGCTTAGGCTAGAGTACAGTGATGTGATCATAGCTCACTGTAACCTCAAACTCCTGGGCCCAAGGCGTCCTCCTGCCTCAGCCTCCTGAGTAACTGGAACTATAGGTGTGTGCTACTGTGCCTGACAAATTTCTAAAAAAATTTTTTAGAAGTGGGGGTCTCACTCTTGCCCAAGATGGTCACGAATTCCTGGCCTCAAGTGATCCTCCCGCTTCAGCCTCCCACAGTGCTAGGGTTACAGGCATGAGCCATTGCGCTGGGCCGGCATTAATCTTTTTAGCAAGAAATTTCTTTAGTAGCTCAAGTGTTAAAGAAAGAGCAACTAAACAATAGGACTTTGACTTTTTTGTTTAATAGGTTGCATTTAGGTATTTTTCTTACCTAGTGTGTATTTTTTTCTAGTGAATGCAAAGCCACCTCTTTTTTCTTAACACAGTTTTCTTGGAGATCAGCTGACGTTGGAAACACATTTCTACCTAATCCTTAAAAGATGATATTATAACAAAATTTATCTAGTCTTTAGAATTCAGGGTGTTTTTTTTTTTTTTTTTTTTTTTTTGAGACAGAGTCTCGCTTTGTTGCCCACGCTAGAGTGAATGCCGTGGCATCAGCCTGGCTCACAGCAACCTCAAACTCCTGGGTTTAAGCAATCCTACTGCCTTAGCCTCCTAAGTAGCTGGGACTACAGGCATGCACCACCATGCCCAGCTAATTTTTTTCTATATATATTAGTTGGCCAATTAATTTCTTTCTATTTATGGTAGAGACGGGGTCCTGCTCTTGCTCAGGCTGGTTTCGAACTCCTGACCTCGAGCAATCCACCAGCGTCGGCCTCCCAGAGTGCTAGGATTACAAACGTGAGCCACCGCGCCCGGTCAGAACTGTATGGATTTATATAAAAAATCCTTGTGTGTGAAAGAAGCAAAAAAAATACATAGTGTTTGGTTCCATTTATTATAAATTCTAGAGTTAACAAAACTAATAATCTCTGGTTATAGTGATCAAAACTGATTTCTTCTTGCTTTGGTGGGGGAGATGGATTGAGTAGGAAAGGATAGGAGGGAATTTTTTGTGTTTATGATACTCCTTATTTTGATTGTGGTGTGGATTTCACAGTGTATGCATTTATCAACTCATGAACCTAATGGTTAAGATATACTTATTTCACAATATATAAGTTATACCTCGATAAAAATATTTTTAAAATTAGTAATGACAATCATTTTCAAGAAGCTGAATTCTAAATAGTGTGTACAATTTTTGTGTATCCATAATTGCCAACTCTGTCAAGATATTTCTAAATCTAATATATATAATCTGCTAATGTAGTATTAATATAATGATTAAGATGAGCTCTAAAGTCAGACTATCTGCAATTCAGTCCTGCTGAATTGTACTGTGACCCTAGGCAAATTACTATACCTTTCTGTGTCCCCTCCATTTCCTCATGTATAAAGTAGGAGCAATGTAGTACCCATGTAATTGGATTATATTGGAATTATATGAGCTTGTTCATATAAGGCTCTTAGAGTAATGCCTGGAACATGATATTCACTAATTTTAACTTCTAATATTAATAGTACTGCTATTGATATTATTAATTAATACCTATATTCAGTTCTTGGCCCCAATAAAATTTTCTTTTTTGCCTACTGAATAATTTGGAAATCATACCAAAATGTTTGAATAGTGTTGCTGAGTCCTGGCGTCATATATTATAAATACTTACAAAAGATTTGTTGTATATACACTGTGCTGTGCTCTGTAGACGTAAAGATATGGTCTCCATGTCTTAAGGACTTCTCCTTGTTGTGGGAGAAAGATAGAAGGAGATAGTAGAAAATAACCATATCATGCAGTCTTTGATGGATATCATCTGAGGGTGCTCTGGAAGAACCAGATATGTAACCCATACTTAGCAGAAGATGTTGCCTATGCTTGACTTTAGTTTTGTTTTGTCTGTTTCTCTGTTTTTGTTATTTTTTATTGAATTGGACTCTTGGTTCAATTGCTTTTGAAAGGTTTAGCACCTATCACTAACCCAAACTGAGAACAACTTTTAGGTTGAGAGAAAACATATTTCACAAATAATGGTTAAGATTATATGCTCCATTTCATCACAGTCTAGGTTAATTTAAGGTATAGATAGGAAAATGCAAGCATTTAGAATCTGGTTAAGTCAAAATTAGTAACCAATCTGCCCCAAATTGAGCTTCTAACCTTTCAAACCCAACACATTTGTCTCATCTTTCAGTGGCTTGGGTCCAAAACCTTGGGGCACATCCTTGACTCTCCTTTTTCTCTCACTTCACATCCACTCTATCATCATATCCAATCACCTCTCCATGCAGAATGTGATCATTTCTCATCTCCTTCATATTAATAGCTACATTCTATTTAACTCTGGAATAGTTTTCTCACCAAAAAGATCTTGTACTCATTAGCAATTAGTCTCCATTCTCCTTTTTCTCATCCCTTGGCAACAGCTATCTTCTGTTTTTATAATTTGCCTGTTCTCAAAATTTTGTATATGTAGAATGATACAATATGTGGCCTTTTGTGTATGGCTTCTTTCAGATAGCATATTTACAAGGTTCACCATATAGCATAAATCAGAACTTCATTCCTTTTTATGGCTTAATAATACTCCCTTATGTGAATATATCAGATTTTATTTATTCATTCAGTGCTTGTCTTAGAAAGAGTAATTGGAGTTAGCCATGGGAACACATTAAAGGCTAAGAGAACAAAGCACAATCACCTGACATTCTAAGAGAGCATGGTATTTTGGAGGGATATATCTGATTTAATATGCCTGTGGAAGAAGTGGTTTCAAGAACAAGAAAGCAAGGGAGGGAGGGTGGAGAGGGCAAAAGGAGTGGATTGTTGGAGTTCATAGTCTACTCTGAAAGGTCCTGTACATAATGTTAAGCAATTTGGATGTGATTTGAATATATGTATATTTATAAAAATTCCCTCTATTTCAAATTTAGGATTTCTAAAACAACTGTTTTCTCTAGCACACTAAATCTAATCTATCAAAATAGGAGAAACCCAAAGATAGGTAGTTTTCTGTTTTCGTATATTAATTACTACTTTAGGTTTATATTTAAACACATTAATCAGCTTAAAAGTCTTTTAGGCAGCGTTATTATTATTGTTGTTGTTTTTGTTGTGTCTTCTTTATTTTAGGAGACAGGATCTCACTCTTGTCACCCAGGCTCTAGTGCAGTGGCTTGATCATAACTCATTGTAACTTCGTACTCTTGTGCTCAAATGATCCTCCTGCCTCAGCCTCCTAAGTAGCTGGATCTACCTATGAGTTCCACCATGCCCAGCCAATTTTTTCTTAATTTTTTGTAGAGATGAGGTCTTGCTGTATTTCCTAGGCTCATCTAGAACCCCTGGCCTAAAGCCATCCTCCCATCTTGGCCTCTGAAATTGCTGGGATTACAAGTGTGAACCACAGTGCCTAGCTAGACTATTTATTTTATTGTTTATGCTCATGTGTATGAACATGCATGCCCCATCCCATACACAGTAAATGGTTGTCATTTTAATTTATGAAAGATGCCAACAGTGGTGATTTTACCACTTTCTATAAGAGGCCAATGTAATAATAGTAAGAGAATTCAGTCTTTTGTTTTATAGATAAGAAAGCTGAGGCCTAGTGAGGATATATGGCTTGTCTGGGGAACATAGCCATCTAGCTTAGGAAGAAGGATTTCATTCATCCATTAAATACTTGTTTTTAGAGCCTACTTCATAACGTAGTGTCCCTATTCTCAAATAGTATTGTCTAGCTGGCATGGAGATCGAAAGGGAGAGGAAGGTAGGGAACATATGTGACATGACAAATAAGGAGTCATTTCATCTTGAACAGTATTCACTTTGGTTTTTTGTTTTTGTTTTTGAGACAGAGTCTCACTCTGTCACCTGGGCTAGAGTGCGGTAGCGTCAGCCTAGCTCACAGCAACCTCAAACTCCTGGGCTTAAGTGATCCTCTGCCTCAGCCTCCTGAGTAGCTGGGGCTACAGGCATGCACCACCATGCCCGGCTAATTTTTTTCTATATATTTTTAGTTGTCCAATTAATTTCTTTCTATTTTTAGTAGAGACGAGGTCTCACTCTTGCTCAGGCTGGTTTTGAACTCCTGACCTTGAGCAATCCACCAGTGTCGGCCTCCCAGAGTGCTAGGATTACAGGCGTGAGCCACTGCACCTGGCCAGAGCTATTTACACAGTGCTTTGAGAACACAGATGGGAGCATCACGGTGCTGATTAATTGACCTAGTGGCAGATCTAGAGCTAATTTTCCCAACTCTATATTCCAGGGTTTACTTTTTATCTTCACCATTGTACACTGCATGTCTGAGCAGGGAAAATATACAAGTGAGTTTTCTCATTTGTAAGTAGTATTAAATTAACCATGCTACACCTTTGCTTTTGCTAGTAAAAATAACTTATAGATTAGAGTCTTATTTATTTGGAATTTTCTGATATTGCTGAATCAAGCTGAATTCCCTTCTTGTAGTTATATAATAGACGCAAAAAAAATCAGCCACCTAAATTTTTTTGTGTTTGAACTGTGCTGTTAGACTGACTTTTTGCCATAATAATTCAGAATGTTCTAGATCATAATTTTATATTAACATCAAGTGTTGTTATTCCTGAATGTAGAAAAGAATTCTTATTTCCAAATGACTTAAGAAGTATAGAAAAAAATACGGTAATCAAGTTTTACATTGATTTCATCTCCTTAGAGGTTACATACTACTTTTGAAAGTTATAGAACTTTGGTTTTTACTTAACTTTATTCCATCTTTTCTTTTCAACCAATGAGATCTTCATTGCCATTCTAATCAGTAGGGAACATAATCTTAAGATTCCTCTTGGGAGAGTAGTATATTTTAATATGTATTATTCTTAATACTTACTTTTAAAATTCAAGATAAATTAGGGCTAGCTGTACCAGTGTTTTTGATGTTCTTAATGTATTTTTCTTTTTTTACATTTTAATTTCTAATAGGTATTATTCAGAAAGTTCCTTAGAACAGGAGAAAGATTTTTATGCTGTCTTATTTTTTCCCTTGTTTAGAAATCGAAACGAGTTGGCTGAGACTCTTGCACTCCTGAAAGCACAAATTGATCCTGTACTATTGAAAAACTCTAGCCAACAAGACAACTCTTCTCGGGAAAGTCCCAGCTTAGAGGATGAGGAGACTAAAAAAGAGGAAGAAACACCTAAACAAGGTTTTTTTGTGTGTTTTGTTTTGCTTTGTTTTGTAATCTCCTCCATCTTCTTCTACTCCTCTTCCCAACTATGTAATTCTGAATTTCTATCTCAATTTGAAAAATTGAGATCTCCTATAAAAGGAGATTGATTTTTCTTTTAAAGAAAAAGAGAGGCAGAAAACCATCAAATATGTTGCTCTTTTACATAGATCAGTTTAAAAATCGTATTCAAAAATGTTCGAATTATTGAAACTTAATAGACATTTAGTGAATTTTTTTATTGTGACAAAGTGTACATAACATAAAATTGACCATTTTAACCATATTTAAGCATTCAGTTGTATGGCATGAAGTACATCCACATTGTTGTGCTGCAACAGTAATCACCATCCATCTCCACAACTTTTTTCATCTTCCCCAACTGAAACTCTGTACCTATTAAACGCTAACTCCTTATTTTCCCCTCTCCTCAACCTCTGGTGTCTACTATTCTACTTTCTGTCTCCATGAATTTGACTACTCTAGAAACCTCATGTCAGAGGAATCATATAATATTTGTCCTCTTTTGATGGGCTTATTTCACTTAACATAATGTCTTCGAAATGTGTCAGAATTCTCTTCCTTTTTAATAATTTTAATTTCTGAATAATATTCCATTGTGTGTATATGCCACATTTTGTTTATCAGATCATCTATAGTGGACGAGTTGACTCTACCTTTTAGACATTGTGAATAATGCTACTGTTGAAGATGGGTGTACAAATTACAAATATCTCTTCGAGTCCCTGCTTTCCCTTCTTTTAGGTATATATCCAGAAGTGGAATTGCTGCATCATGTGGTAATTATGTTTAATTTTTTGAGGAGCTGCCATACTGTTTTCCACAGCAGTTGCATCATTTTACATTCCTATCAGCAATGCCTAAGGACCCCAGTTTCTTTCCATCCTCACCAATACTTATTTTCTGGTTTTTTGATAATAAGCCATCCTAATGAATGTGAAGTGGTATCATTAGTCCCTGATGATAAGTGATTTTGAGCATCTTTTCAAGTGTTTATTAGCCATTTGTATATCTTCTTTGGGGAAAATGTTTATTCAAGTCATTTGTCCATTTTTAGTTGAGTTGTTTGGTTTTTTGTTATACTTTGCAAACGGTTTAGTCTATGGTGATTATAATTATTAAACTTGATTTCTGACTTGAGTTTTCTAGTTCACTTAACTGATGAAATCCTAACCTTTCTCAGAGGACAGAATTAAGCCCTAATCTCTCCAGAAGGAAAGAAACCATCTGAAATTTTGGCTAACATTTCTTAGTTAATATTTGATAACCTCTTAATTACAGGAGAAGGAGTTTGCTTTCCTTAACATGTTTTCTCCCTTTGTTTTTAGTTTGCCTCTACTGTTTTGACTGGAACTTAAAAACAATGTGTTCTTACTTTATTTAATGTTTTGAGGGAACCATTTATACAGCATTCCATATCTGCAAGCATTGCTTTGAAACAGGGAATTATGCCTTTCCATGTAGTATATAATAGTGTTCCTATATATTAAGCATTGCCTTTAGCCAAATCCTGATTATTGTCCTCCTTTTATCATCGTTTATATGATTTCAAATCTTTGTGATGGTTTTATTTATAAACCAAATTTCTGATTTGAAAATTTCTTTTCTATATGTTAAAATTAAATTAGTAGGCTACTTCAGAAAAACATAATAATTTTAAAGTAGTCTGAACTCCTCTTGAATTTTCAGACTTCTAGTAGTATTCCCTAAGGATTAGTTCTGGGTTTAGACTTAATATTATTTATTCAGTTTGGTCATTCATTCATGTATTTGCTTATTCCCATATACAATTAAAATCAAAAGCAGAGGAAATGTGAATTGGAAACAAAGATCAGGATAATAGAAGTTTACTAGGCAATTATTTCTATTTGGAGACATTAAATTTGACACGGATCTTAAAAGGGAAACTTATGGTATAGTTTAAAGTAGAAAGAAAAAGCAAACTTTTTTTAGTAAAGTACAGCTCTTCCTAATATTTAATGCTAAAATTTCTTTGTGGGACCTCAGTGGATAGTGGATGGGGGATTTCAATAATAACAACAGCTAACATTTATTGGGCACATCCTGTTTTCTTTGCAGTCTACCAAATGCTGCATATGGATTTTCATTTAACCCTCATAGCAACTCTTTGAGGTAACTACTATTATTATTTCAATTTTACAGATGAGGAAATTGGAACATTTATAAACTTGCCCTTAGGTCATTTACATAATAAAGTGTCAGAGCTTAAATTTGAACCCTAATCCTTCTAAAGCCTGTGTTCTTCAACTAGAGTGACATGTAGTAGTACTTCTCATACTTTAATATGCTTGTTGTTCACCTTGGATCTTTTTAACATTCAGAATCTTATGGAGTAGATATTGGCTGTTTGCTAACTGGCCAGTTTTGTTATAACAAGGACTGGCTGATGCTAATGCTGCTGGTCAGAGGACCATACTTTGTGTAGCAAGGTTTATATAGGCAATATTCTCCTAACTTCTGAAATAAATACACCAAAGGCTTTTATAGAACTGTTTCTGAAAACATTTCTCAATGAATGCTGATGTTATAACTCTTAACACAACTAAGAAAAAATGGTCTGTGGGGAAAAGTAGAGGAAGAGGAGCAGGATATTCAATTCTGTTTTTCTTATTCTCTCTTAAATAGGGCTTTTCTGCTTCTCTTGCTGTAAAAACAAAATGTTTCTTATTCATTTGTTCATTAAACAAATATTTATTATATACCTTCTATGTGCTAAGCATGATTTTAGTTATGGAGTTCAGTAAGCAAAGCAGACTAAATTCTTTGCTTTTGTAAAGCTTACACTATAGTGAATGAAATAGTAACATTTACCATGTGCCAGTGCTATTCTAAGTGTTTTACATATAGTAAGTCATATTATCTTCATAAAAATACCTGTTAGATAGTATTATATGATTATTTTGGTTTTTTTCCAGATGAGGCAAATGAGACAAAGAATGATTAAGAAACTTTCTTAAGGTCACATAGCCTGATAGTTGCAGACGCAATATTCAAACCTAGGCTGTCTATCTCCCTGTGTACATTTGATGCCACACTTACATATAATTTCAGCCCCCAGAGCCCTATCTCTTACCCTGTCCTCTCAGATGTAGTTATTATAGTGTGTTCCATGGCAAGATCAAAGAAATAGGATTCTGGTTTGTCATTTTTATTACTCTGAGATAAAAACAAACATTGTCCTTGGGCTAGGTTGGAGGGGGTGATGTGAAATGGGAAGAGAAGTAGGTTGAAAGCTGGAAACAGTCCTGAGAATGTCTGACAGAGTGGTAAAGCAAAATGTGACAAAAGTTAAAAATTAAGTGTGGCTGGATATTTGGAAATCAGACAGTAAGAAATAAAAATAAATAGGCACTAGAGAGAGAATAAACAGCCACTCTTATTCTTATAGGTAAAATAGATTTTTCTTTAATCATTAATTAAATTGCTATGCCTGTATCTAACCTCAGTAAGATAACTTTTATTTCTGTATAGGTGCAAAGGAGAAATGTATTACCTGTAAAAATAGGCAAAAAAATTTAAAATGGCAACAAGTGACCTAGAATATCCACCAACTACATAATTAAGTTGGCTTTGTTTCAAAGACAGTTAGAATTGCCTTCTAAAAAAGTCTAAATTTCCTTGGCTGGCATTCAGAATCTCAATCTGACCTCTATCTCTCTTTCTAGTGTTAGGTCCTATTTCTTACATCGAGTATTGGGTCCCGATTATCTACATGCTTTTATTTTCTCTGTGTGTCTTGAGTATTCCTCTGTGTCTTTATGCTGTTCTTTCCCTCAAATGTTGTACCCCAACCCCCATGAAAAGACTGGTTTATACTTAAAGGGCCATCTGAAATCCACCTTCTTGATCCCTTTCCTGAGCTCTTCCAGAACTTTATTTATACCATTTTTATTCCACTTATATTAGGGCCAGGCATGAAGTTCTCAAATACTTGAATTATTATTTTTGACTATTGTAACTTCAAGTAAGTGTTAGGTATCATTTAAACCCTCTTATGGCTATTTAAGATCCAGTGTGTCAATTCAGGCAGAATACTACGTAGAAGATATTGTGCTTATAGAATGCTATGAAATTTAGTATATATATTTTCTATATATATTAGATATTGTATTCTAATTTAGAAGGGACCAACAAATTAAAAAGAAATTTTTCTGGGAAAAAACAAAAGTTGAAAGAAACTCAACTAACCTTTACTTTAGTTTTTTTCCTACTAATTGAGAAAAGACTGTCCTTTTATTAATGTTTGCAGTCATATACTTCTGTCCACACATAAGCAGACAAGGGAGTGTCATTTGAGAATTTCTTGTGAGAATTTACAGTTCACAGACCTAATTTGACACAAAAACTTGTTTATTTTGATTTGTACAGTGCTGCTTTGTTTAAAAACCCAAAGATAAAATTCACCACCTTGAAGTAGACAGTTTAGTGGTTTTACACATTCACAGTGTTGTGCAAGCATAAGCACTATCTAATTCAGAACATTTCCATCATCCCACAAAGAAACTCTGTATCCAGGCCAGGTGTGGTGGCTCATGCCTGTAATCCTAGCACTCTGAGAGGCCAAGGGGGGCGGATTGCTCGGAGTCATGAGTTCAAAACCTAAGCAAGAGCAAGACCCCGTCTCTACTATAAATACAAAGAAATTAATTGGCCAACTAATATATATAGAAAAAATTAGCCGGGTATGGTGGCACATGCCTGTAGTCCCAGCTCTTCGCGAGGCTGAGGCAGAAGGATTGCTTGAGCCCAGGAGTTTGAGGTTGCTGTGAGCTAGGCTTATGCCACAGCACTCACTCTAGCCTGGGCAACGAAGTGAGACTCTGTCTCAAAAAGAAAAAAGAAAAGAAACTCTGTACCCATTTAGTAGTCACTCACCATTTCTCCCTTCCTCTAGCACCTAGAAACCATTATTCTACTTTCTGTCTCTGTGGATTTGC